TGGTGTTTGAAGTATTTAACTTGGTGCAGAATGCTGGATTGAGTCAATGCGCTAATTTTTGTGGCGTACGATATACCACGTGGGATCCGTGGGATCATGTCGGAGATGAGCGCACCCGATTCGCACAACAACAGCACGTGTGTGCCTTTTCTCTTTACGCCGTGCACAAAGAAGGTTGTTGTGTACGAAAAACGGGCGGGCACAAGATGGTCATCAGGGAGAAACTTCTCTGTGGGCGATATAGTCTAGCCCCCCGTGCTCCAGCGTTCTCGCTTTGCCCTGCTGCTGACAAAGTCGGCCGCCGGAGGCAGAAATTGGGGCTTTTGTCTCTCATCAGTTTTCATCTATTTTCAGGCCCAAACACCAACATACACGTGGTATGCATAGTCTAAAACACCTGAGCGATTCTAAAAGGATCGTCTTCAAAGTCATCCGGTGCTCCTCTTCGTTCACAACAAAGCAGCAAGGGAGTTTGCGGTGGGTCTGTCTGTCATGGGGACCACATGTTTCTTTGTGTCTCCATCACATTTTCGCATCAAAGTCACTCCCACGCCACTGCAATGAAAGAAATGGGTTGCGCTGGGTGCGAAAGTCAACACTCAACAAGTGGTCTGGGTGCGAACTCAAACTGCCGTGCTGTCAAGCAGCAACTGCTGTGGCAGAGTGACAAACAATGTGACTCAAACAGTGTGGTGTGTTGGATGAAAAAGGCGTTGATCTGGGGGCGCCGTGGCATGAAAAGTACATGTTGCACATACCCTTCGCGAGAAGGAAACAAGGCCTGCTGGGTTGTTGTTGTGGTTGTGTTGTTTGAGTTGCGACACAGCAGAGCAGAGAGACCGCTCAGAGAGCAGGAGGAGGGCAGTGGATGGTCCGGCTGCCGCTGCGCACGTTCGAAGTCATTATTTCAGGAAGAGAGACGCGCAGCGAGATTCCTGATCAGAGTTGCGAAAGAGAGAAGACGACAGGTGAGGAAATGAGGTTATTGAGCCCGAGTTCTACATACTGCGTCCCCCGTGGAAGTTCTGTCTCTCTTTCGCTCTCTCAGCCCCTTGCTTCTGCTGCAGCTGAAACAACCGTTGAACGCTGTACACACAGCCCCACTCGGCTTCCAGCTGTCCTGAACGGCTTGCACTTCGGTGTTTCCGTGCTTCGGGTCCCCCAAGAAGTGCTGAACCCCCTCGCTGCCGTTGACACACACGCGCTGTATTTTTGATTGAATAGACCAAAAAGAACCCGCTGGGTCGCCAGGTGCTGACATCACGGTCCGGACTGCTGTAACTTCGCTGCGGTTTTTATTGCATAGCAACTACTGTGTGGGGAGGCTCAAGACACGCACCGAGACCTGTCGCACTTGTGCATAGGTTTGACCTCTTTGTTCTAGTCGGACATCAAGCAGTGATTGAATCTGCCTCTTTCGCTCCGGAGCTGCAAACCACTTGCACCAGCAACATCCGCTCACACTGAGGGGGGCTGGAGTGTACCATATAATACAGCTGTAGCGTCAGGAAAGTCAACCCGGCCGCGATGGCAAGGCACTGCTGCAGCACCGCGGCGTCTTGCTTGCTCCCGTGCCGTGCTTCTCGCATTGCCGCGCGCGATTTTTCCCGTTTTCGAGACGAATCTCCTCAGTCACCCTCACATGCATGCAGCTCAGCTGCCGGCACACTCTCTACAAGCCTACGGGGGCGTACCCAATAATCCCCCATGTTTTGCAACAGCAAGCACGAAAACGTTGACATTAATACTTGTATAAGTGTACATAGTAGTGTGAATCCAGCGCTCCTTCATCCTGGACTCTGAATCTGTGCGTAGAGATGAATATAAATATATACAGCAGCGGTTTGTTTTCTGCGAGAAAAAAACAAGAACAAAAAACTGCCCACGGGGAATGAATCAAGTCTACCGACACACAAACAGACCCAAACAGACGCGGAGCCTTGCTGAAATGTTTGTGAGCGTGGCATCGACACACACGCGCACAAGCGTAGAGTGCATTTCCTCCGCAAAACCAAAAATTAAATATGCATGTGCATAGTACTGAAGAAAATCTTGTCCGCGTCATTCCTTGCAGCAGCAGCAGCAGCAGCAGCAGCTGTTGCTACCCATGACAGGGGCGGCGACAAAAGCCGCCGCCGCGGTGACGGCTGTTCCCAACGCACCGGTATCGGACCCCGCTGGCGCGGGTGACGTTGCCGCCGTAGAGGAGCAGCAGACGCCTAACGTGTCTGGAGGCCGGGAGCACCGCAGCAGCAGCAGCAGCAGCAGCAGCAGCGCCGACGGCCATGGTGGTGGTGGGTGCAATGGTGGCGACCTGGCCCCGCCGGCGGCACACCTGCAGAAAGGCATCGTGGAAGCTCTCGAGGAGAGCCAACAGCCCCCCGAGGGAGGGGGGGCGGCACCAGGCACATCGCCAGCAGCAGCAGCGGTCGGCGTCAATGGAGACGCGGGGTCGGGTGCCTGCGATGATAGCGCCGACAGCAGTGGCGGCGGGGGGGGCGCGGAGACGGGAGAGGGAGGGACCCCAACAGACGGCGGCAGGCACACCAACGGCGTGAGCAAAATGACGATGCACCCACCAGCGCGACCCCCCCTCGGACCGGCCTCCGCAACCGCTACGAAACCCCGCCTCGCCGAGTGGGTCAAGGTGGAGGGGGAAGACGACGACAGTGACGTCGACACCGCTAACAGCCTGCGCGGCGGTGGCAGCGGCGGCAGCGCGCCTAGCAGCACAGGCTCCAAGTTGTCTTGCGCCACTTCCCCGGCGGCGGCGGCGGCGGCGGCGGCAGCGGCGGCGGTGGCGGCGGGAGTATTTCCAGCGGGGGCCGGGACAACACCGCCGGAAGCTAAAGGATCAGAAGACTTAGGAGGCGGCAGACAGACACCGGCCAAGGGAGATGGCGAACGGGTCTTTACAGAGGCGGAGGTTGGCGGTGGTCCCAAAGGGGGGGTGGTCGAGGCGGAAGCGAGGGAAGGGGGGGGCGGGACGGCACCGGCGGCCGCCGCGCCGGCAACTGCGGCGGTGGCGTCGCGGAAGCTGGCGGACTGGATCAAGGACGGCGGCGCGGATGACAGCGAGGCCGAGACGAGCACCAGCGGGTAAGTCGGGGCGGTGTTGGCTTTGCCGCGGTGCTCTTTGGTCGTGCGTCTTGTAACCTTTGTCTCTCTCTCTCGCTCTCTCTGCTCTGTCTCTGTCTGTCCAGCTGTCTATCTCTCTCTCTCATGGTGGGCGGGGTTTGGATAGTGGCGTGCCCCCGCTCCAGGGAGAAAACGAAAAACCTGTCCTCAAGGAATCTAGTGCTATTTAGCTTGGTCATGGTGTGGACGGGAAATCGAGTTTGACGATTTTATGGTGGCGTGGTCCAGTTCCAGGAAGAACCGAGTAACGAACAAGATACTAAAAGCAAACGACCGCAGGATACGGGAAGAAAAATGACCTCCCACACTCGTGGGCTTGCTGGCCTAGTAGTAAGGAACGATTGGAATGTCCGTGGTACGAAGAGGAGAGGGAAGTGTACATGACCGAGCTGGGAAAAATAGAAGGGAGGTACAGGGAGATGTTTGAGGCATGGAATAGAGAGGAGAGGACGGTAGCTGTACTGGGGAGTAGGAAGTGGTTTGAAAAGGCGGGAAGGGATATCGTTAGGATAGACAGACTAGGGAAGACATTTTTGAGCCACCTTTGGCAAAGTAGGAAGGAACGATTGGCCATCGGTGATCGGTCCTGTGAACACAATGCTCCGTCCTCTCGAGGACGCGTGATCAATGGTCTAACCGCTAAGACATGCAAAACATAAGAGTACGCCCCCCCCCCCCCCCCACTCCTGGGATCCCAGGGTGTCCCCCCCGTCTTTCAGATCTCCGGGAACCTCCGCCGAAGGGGGCAAGGGCTCCCACCGCTTCCTGGGGTCCGCGGGCAGGAGGCTTATTACCGCGGGGGCGGGGGCCCCCCGGGCGGCGGTGAAGGCCCCGGCGGCCCCAAGGGGGCGGCAAAGCCCGCTCTCCGCGGGGGGCGGGGGGGGGGGGACCCAAGGGAAAATGGGCCCTCTTGG